ACGTTAAATGAAACTGATTTCCACGCCAAGGATAAAAGTGAGATCGTGAAGTTTCGACGTAGCGTGGCTTTGTCCGATCGATCTCAAAAGGATTTATCTGGGCCATACAGAATGCCGCGTTACTTTTGATCGAATTTATTCGGGCGAGTGATATTTCATTCTCATTTACCTAAATTGGATTTTCTCGTATATTTGATATACTCGCGCGCAGGCACGATACTTTGTTCTCTTAAGGGGATCCTAAAGTCCTGTATTACCGACTAAAATACGTACAATTTTTGTATTGCGAATACTCTTTTTCTCTTTCACGGATTTGAAACAACATTTGCTTGATATGAAAGTTTTGCAACCTGTACGTACGAAATAATGATTCACGGTCACGTAATTTGCACGAACATACAACGTCGAGTTCTTAGAATTAGATTTAGACCCTTTATCGCGACGAATTCGTTGTACGAAAATTGACACGTATGTGTGACTGCGTGTATCATAGGCTGCGTGAGATATTGCTGTGGTAGTATAAAAAGACATGTCGATGTGCGGTGCGCGGCGCGACATCTAGTGATTTTTCGGAGTTCGAGCTTTGCTTTAGGATCCCCTTAAATTGATCAATTTTGCAGAAAACAATGGACGTGAAAATCAAAAGAGATAAAAAGTCGACCTTCGACGCATTTCGCGTCAGGAGGCAGAAAAGTCGCAGATATAATAAGCACGAAATGCGAAACCGTTAATTGTGAGAAACGCGAACCGGTTAAAGCAATTAACGCGAACAGAATCGCCACCGCGGCCCCTAATTTTTTTGTCGCTGAAAAACAGCTAATGCAATCCTTTTCGAGCTCCCGAAATTCGATTTCCTTGCGCGAAGCCACACCGCATGGGCCACAAAATGTTATTTCCGTGTTCGCGCAGACCATCTGTGCGTTCCTGTTTGAGTCAAAATCGTGTTTAATGAAAAAATACCTCGGACGCCTGCGCGAAGCTATATATATTTCTATATAACTGCAATAAATAAAAAATACTTTACGGGCTTTGCAAGCGGGAATGACATGTATGCCGTCGATGTTACGGGAAATGTTACAAGATTGTCAAAGATTTCATTAAAAATTCGGTGAATTGAACGAAATTTTAGCTGCTGCAATTGATATATGATATTTCCGTCGATATTAAGATTTTCCTGAAGGTTTTCTTAAAACGGCAATCATTATCGGTGAAAATGTAAATAACGATCAACTGAGCCTGAAATTAATTTTAGTAATACTAAAACATAATTAAAAAAAAGTCGTTAGTTACAATAATATGTATTATAATTAACACGACCACAACGGTACTTTGTGTAATATTTTTCGTGCGCTCTAGTTATGCCGAATAAAAAAATTTGGAGCGATTTTATTTAAACTCTTGCTCCACTTTACTATAGCGCAAACTGAAACGAATATGACGGTGTAAGTTACGAGCACGTAAACTTGTGTTTATTTTATGATTTCTCTATATCGTTCGGTAAAAATATTTTTGCTTTTATTTCAAATATCGTCGCAAGATTGGAAATACAATTTGTAATGAGACCATTTTGACGACACAATCGTTGAAGTTTTAGTGATAGAATTTTAATGCCACTCTATCACATTATCACTCTGCCACAATCGAATTAAAATGTTCGTTACTGTAATACAGCTCTCACAAATCCATCTAAGAACTACATTTCTGATTTAACTATTTACTATATTAAAATACGAATTTATTTTTAATAGAGATAATACGAAGGAAAACGAGAATTTTAAGACGAGATGTATTAGTTTCCACGAACAATGTGGTCCAGCAGATCTGACGATGCAAATTCCTCTTTGAATTGTTTATATTAATAACATTCTCTCTCTCGCATATTCTCTTGAAGTGGTAATATCAAACCCACGCTAAAATGTTTCTCTGTGCCAAAAAACGTCACTCGAGTAGTTACGTACTCGCGGAGGACGAGAGGCTTAAACCAGGTTATTGAGTTCGTTCCAGTTTTTGGCGCACTAAACGGACCGTAGATTCAAATGAGCTCATTTTCACCACATACGCGTATGTGTTTTATTCAGAAACACGAGATAAGGAACAAAGAGCCGACGAAAACTTTGTCGAGCGTAAAAACCAAAGGCATGGTTCCATGGACTATGCTCCTTCTAAGGTAGATACCGACGCCGATCGTAAAAGCGATGCGAAAGTGTGCAAGCTACACGATATCTTTAATAATTCGCATGAAACCGAAGAAGAAGACGTATGCTAGGGATTATTGATAGAGATAACTTAATTTTCAGGTAGGTTAACCGTTAAGTTAACAGACAGCTTCCAGTTTGAAACGCTATTGATTTCACACAAAAAGCGTATTATTTAAAAATAAAAAGAAGAAAAACATGGGAATATTAAGTGATCGTCAAGCTTAATGAATAATGCAATTAGTTTGTAATTATGTAGTTATTATCGCTATATTGTACAATAAAGTGTATTAATTTATTTTACCCAGAAACATAAATTCCAGTGGTCGACCACTAAAACCGCTGCTGTTCTATTCTCATATACATATATATATACAATATACCTATACACATACAAATTAAAAGATAGATACCAAATTTGTAAAACACCACATATGCGCAATTATATATCTCAAAATCATTCGATATAAATGTTACATCTCTAAATAAATAAATTTAGCTAATTACTTTTTATTATAGCTTTTATACGATCCTCTGAAAAGTTTTGTCCGATCTGCCACAGTATGGTGAAAATTTTGAAAGAGTGATTTATTTTACTTTTTCCCTGTACTTTCAGTTCTGGTCGTGAGATCGACATGGCATAAATCGTGAGATAGTGCTGGCCGGAATAATAAAAATTATCGAACAGCCATCGCGATGGTTGATAGAGAGGAGAGAAAATTGGGAGTGAGAGAGCGAACGCTGCCTCTGACATTAATTAATCATCCGCGGAGAGCGGTCGAGTTACTCGAGTCTGATAAATTATCGCCACCTGAGGAGCCTGCCTCGACGATATACGGCCCGCCGTATCTGCCTACGATAATTCTCTTTATTCAAGCGCGCCGCAGGATAAATTCGCTAACGATGTTCGTTCGCGTGGCGTTATTAACGTGGAATATTGCGACGCGCAAAGAGCAAACGCGATGTTTAATCCGCATGTCAGCACGATAGGATTTTCCGTTCGGTTTTTTAGTAGGACACTAGAGTCCATTTTACCAATGGGAAAATATGGCCGATTAGTTAACATGATAATAAGAAAAAGATACTGCTATAAACGACGAAACGATCGAGTATGCTGTGCATGATACACGAGTGGTGTCATTAAAAGACTTGTACTTGTAAGAACAAAGATTTACATCTTGCATTTGATATGAGGTGCTTTCTATTTGATGACACGTCAACACAAGCATCATTTTATCTTTTTTGACATCTAGAGAATAACAAAGATAAATGATATTTGTGTCACCAAATGGAAAGCACTCATAGTTTGTTTCTGCATCTCATATAATATGATAATTAAATGTACGACGTTTGTTGTTATAGTCGATAATTATAAAAAATAAATTTTGTTTCTAAGTTTTAAATATAATTGAATGTAGCATGTGTATAAATGAGATTTAATTTAAATTAAATGAGACCCATGCAACTCAAATAAAGAAATCATTTTTAATTTTTTAAGAATAACGTGGATAATGCTAAAAATGGCAAGGTTTTAAGATAAAAAATAATAAATAGTAGGTAGATGCACAGAGATGCATTATAGAAAAGATATGTATAGAAGATGTAATCTAAAAAGTGATCCGAGAAGATGACAAACGCGTGGAAAAATCTCACGCCTCCATTTGCGTTATTAAATACGACAGAAAAGAGAAAGGTAGAATATAGTCAGCGTCTGTAATAATATCACAGTACAAAATCCGTACTGCGGAATAGAGCGTATAGACATATCGATATGTCATAACACCTGCTACCACAATGTGCAATTATCGACATCGCGAGCACAATTCTCTCAGCATCGTGCTTTGTGAAAGATCGAGGGAATAAAGACTGAATAATACTTGAACGAAATGCGAAATGCCAGATGCTATAATTCGCGCTTGATGATGTATAGTGGTATGTAAAATAACAGAGATGTGATTTAGTCGCTTTAATAATCCATTGAGAATTTAAATATTAACATGATAATAAATACCATATTCGTTTTATAAAATAATGCCAACTGTTAAACTTTAAACTAATACCAAAATATTTAGAATAATGTTGCTTTATTATAATGTCGCTTAATGATTTGTTCTATTATCAACTTATAAAATAATAAAGCGACGAGTATGTATTCATCGTCTAAAAAAATATTTTTCTTTTATAATTTGCAACGTCAAATTTACTTGCAATTGTTTTTATAGAAATGTGGACTTTACAGTTAATTAGAAAGCAATATGATTTAAATAATCTCTTGTATTTTGGTACTAATACCGCTGATATTAATCCTCGAACATCACACATGGATATTTTGTGTCCATGCATTAAAAATAACCATTTTTGTACTTTAATAAAATCAAAAACTGCTTTTTTCTTCGAAAATCAAAGTTACAATTTTTCTATTAAAACTGAATTACCTATTTTCTTTTTCTGGTGCAGAAAGTAATTTCCATAATTTTCCTAAACATTTTTTCCATTGTTTGCATAGCAAGATGATTTAGTAGAGACCTTAAAGAATATATGAGAATTTTTGCAGAATTTTTCGAGCACTTTAAGAGACTTAAATCGAGTCGGACACGAATAACCCATGTGTATCGTCCAAAGGTACCGAAAACAATTGCTATGTTCGAGGGTTAATACATCCTCAACAATCTTGTTTCCTTCTTTTTGATAGACACGACCACTAACGTCCTCCTCCCTCTCTAATTTCACGACTGCATGCACATTGGCAAGGAAATGCAGTACGCACGCGACCGAACTTCCTATCGCGAACGATTTTTCACGTACATTGTTGCCTTTGAAGATCCCGGCCAGCATGATAGTCGTCGCCAGCTGAAGCGTGTCACGTGCCAGGCTCGAATGTGTGGTTTTCCTTGCCCGCGTCCAGAAGAAGGGGACCCTCGAGCGTTTCACTGAGAGTTCCGTTTCACAACAGCTCGTCGTTGAAATGCAGGGAGAAAACGAGGAGGGAGAACGGATGAGAGAGCGATTATAAGAGAAGATAAGAATCGCGGGGAAGTGTGCGTACTTCCGATTGTGCGTTATCACTCTGGCGAACACGTTGAGACAGATCGCGAACAGGTTGACACCTTCAGGGAGGAGATCGCGCGCAGAACTGACACCTCACGCGCGCGGTCCAGCTACCCTCAGCATCCAGCGGTGGTAGCGGCGGCGGCGGCGACGGTGGCGGCAGCCAAGGGGGATAAAGCCGAGCACGCGCGAAATTCCACCCCCTTCTACCCCTATTCGCCCCTTCTCCCTCTCTTCGATGGGTTGCAGCCACCCGTCCACCCATCCACCTCCTCTCCCCCTCGTCGCTCTCATCCACCATGATTCTCCTCTCCTCGGTCAACCTCTGCCGCTAGTACTCCACGCTCTTCGTTTCGTGTCGAATTCGCGCCACCGTCCACGAAATTTGACTTTGCCTTTACTGCCCACTGGTGTCTGTAGAAATCCCTCGATTTCGAAAACTACTGATGCGGTTTATTACTTCTTCTCTTTTGCAAGTAATTTTAATTAAGTGCGTTTGTGTGTTTTAATGATAAGAAGCAATTCTTCTCTTCAAAAATAAAATTCAACCCTCACTACAATAAACGAGTTCTTTTTTGTCTCCTAATAGAAAAAGAATTTTAAAACTTTTTGCATATATTCATATAATGCAAATTTATAATTTTGCTCTGAATTATTTAATGTGTTTGTCTCTTGGAAAAATCTAATCTCTGTAAGTTAAAAAATATATAAATTTTCCATGCAATTGCACGACTTCTTACGATTGAAATGTTATAAATAGCTTTCATAATTTTGTTATTTAAAATGCTAGACGCCATGATTTTATCTTTCAGCAACATGCAAGAAATATGTATAATCAAAGAGAGACAAATATGACGGTTTTCAAAGAGCAAAGAGCAAAATTGTGGCGATGATTTTCGAGGATTATATTACATAACTATTTCGCACGGATGATTTCTAAATTTTTAAGTTTCTTTATATCGGTTTTATTTGTCTACTTTTTGACTTTATTTCACCTTAATTAGCAAAAATTGCAGATCCAGAAAGAATTCGAGAAAGCAAAATTACAGAAAGGAAGAATTATTCCGTTTCCCTTCGTTACGTAATTATTTGCAAAATTTGATCCCTTTTTTAAATTAAAATCATTACCGCAACATAATATATTTGCCAAGAATAATTGCGATATTAAATATTTGCATAAATGCCATGCAAATCAGTATCTGATTAACGATAATTATTAACGACTTCGTACATTAATGAAAATTTTCGATACAATTTTTTGAAAATTATACTCTCTCTATGGAGCAAAATAAAATTATTTAAATTCATTTTCTTCGTTACAACATGAACTATTCGCCGGAATGCACGACCTTTATTAACGTTTATTACAACCTCTTTGCAATTGTCCAGAGTGAATATGCAAACTGTCCGAACGGGTAAATTCTGCGCCAAGTAATTATATCGCACAATTGCATGAATACTGCACTTCGAGAAAAAATAATTGCTCCGAGTTTCTCACAGAACAAAAATTTAATTTCCATTTCAAACTATTTTACGTGTTTATCTTTTAAATTTCTAATCTATCTCCGTAAGTTAAAAGAAAGATGTAAATTTTTCATGGAATTATACAACCATAGGTATTCGTGTGATTGAAATGTTATATAAAAACAATTTTCATAATTTTTTAATTCAAAATATTAGACATATAATTTTATCTTTCAAGCATTACTATGTCACAAATTAATACAATTTTAATGGAACATATATCAACGTAGTTACAAAAATCCGCCAGTAATTCTTGTGTGCTAAGGTTGATCTTCAGTGACCTTAAACATCTGGCCTTCTTTACCAAGGTGGCCGTATGGGCTCGAACACGCACGAAATTTCACTCCTGCCTACCCTCCTTCTCAACGAGAACAGACCCTTTACGGCCCTATTTCGTCCAAGCGAGCGCCTCGCACCTACAAAGAGGCGTCGAGGGCTGAAACCCTCCCTAATAATTATCAGGCAATGGAGGCTATATTGCGCAAGCCGATGACCCAGCGCGGCGGTATGGAATATTCAAGCGACACCGGCGCGCGTAAACCAGACCACCTCAGAATCTAATTAAAATATATAGCGGGAAAGACGTAACGTTAGCGCACCGTCGTAAAACATAAAGTGATGGAACGTAAAATTTTTAATTTTAAACAGACTTGAAATAACGGCGCTAATATTTAAACTTACATCGCAACATATAACAATATTATGCGTCATTTTTTTTATTTACAAATTCTTCAAAAATTAAGTACAAAAAAAGTATCTATAATCCTTCGATGCTACTCCTAGCCTTAATCACTGGTGGCATACATGAGGTTTCTTTTACTGTGATATACTATATTGCTTTTTTATTAATAAAAATATATGATAAAATGACATAGAATCACGAAAAGAATAATTTTACTGAAGTATCTAAGAATTTAGCCAGATATAAATGTGAAAATAATTTTATTTGGATCATCAAAATAATTATGAAGAATATTGACACTGATTGTTAGAATGTTGAAATATTTTCCAGCATTGTCATCGACGTTTAAGCGTTCCACATACCTAGTTATTTTGATGGTCCAACAAAATTGTTTTCAGATCTATATTTAGCTAAATTTTTAAATACTTCGCTAAAATCAATTTTTTTCGTAGCATCAACAAATTTTTTCCGTAGCATCAAAATCATTCTTTCTGATAATATTAAAAGATATAATATTAGCTATTTCACTTTTAAACGAAGTAATATTTTTAGTTCCTAATTTCAGAAAGCAAAGAAACCTTTTTAATGTATACTGCGACATTTTGTATAACCCTCCAAAGGTTATAGACCGCTCTAGATGTAATCGAAAGCTGCGAAATCCGGTCGAGTGATTTCGTTCTCGTCATACGTATCAGATGGCTCGCTCGCATGCGCATGAGCGTAGGTGTGTCACCCTGTAATTAACCGGGCGCTGCCGACCTACAATAATTACCCAGTAACGCCGACGGGGGATGAAGGAGCCAAGTGCGCGTTGCGTTGCGACCGATAACCCCAGCTCCGAGATTATTTAAACGCGCAATCGCGAGTGTGTCAGTTTCGATTATGTTTCGGTGCAACACTACAAGGCGACAAATAAAGCCGATCGCGCGTTATTGCAACAGCAATTTAACGAGCTCGCGAAACTCTTTGTCACCCTTCTCATCTCTTTCTGTTGTCACGTTCGTGTATCCGTTTACGTGATTGTAAAAATATTTAATATTACTGGCAATAAAATATATAGTATGTACGCGATCCAATGCCAGATCGTGACGTTATACCCGAAGGGCTTAAACAGTCATAATGATCCTTTAGATTCGAGTTTACGGGATACGTTCGTGCAACTGAACTTTCTCCATAAAGCGAGCCATAAATCCCTTACCGACTAGGCTCCATTCGGATTACTTCGTATTACCTTGGGACACGACTGGCGTCACGTCCGGGATTTCGATACTCTTCGGACAACGATCGGATTTCTTCGTGCTCGCATCAGCGAGGTACGTCGGTCGGTAATTAACGCGACCAGGAATATTAAAAACGTCATTAGCGCGCGCGGTAATTGCGCGGTCGCGAACACCGCGACGCTTGTTCACCTTAAACACGCCCACCAATTCGCTTCTCTCTCGCGAGCTTTTAATAGCTCTTTTTCGCGCGGTGTAATTTATAATTTCTCTCGTGAATGTCAATACAGCGAAATTATAGCGGGATAAAGTCTATTTGCGCGATGCTAATAAGCGATGTTAAACATTACAGTCAAATCAAGCTCTCTCTTTGCGCAGCGTTGTCGGAGGAACGTTACGTCGATCCCGTAAATTCCGATCTCACGAGTTTTTATGATGACTTGTATTTTGCACAGCAAAATTTATTACATCATATTTCCTTTTTATATGTAAAATCGTAAGACTTTGATTTAAAATATTTTTTTTCAAAATAAGGAATAAATTGAAATATTTGGCGTGTACACAATTAAAATGAAATATCTTGCATGTGTATTATATATATATCCAGAAAGAATACAATGATGGAAACTAAAATATGACTAGTACGAAATCCTGTCAGATTGATGTTGATTGAGGCGAATAACGTATTCGCGATGCGTCATTATTCCATCCAAGCACGAGTAATTATAGCATTATGTTTCCTCCGCGAGTAATAAATAAAGCTGTGCAATCTCGATACACAAACAATGCAACAGGAATAGGAAAATTGGCAGTCTTTATAAATTACGTTCAATTAAGAGTTTTACGTATTCTTCATTTATAGAAGAATGTAAAATAAAACAATACTATGTATAATTTAAATTACAAGTTACATTTTTATTACTATTACACGGAGAGAATTTTCTTTTAAAATTTACCCTGAAAATATGGTGATTGTGGTACAATTCAATATTTTAAAGATTTTTACCATGCACTTCAGTAAAATTGAACAAACTTATTTTATACTTTATTGTAGTTTTATTAATGACAGACTAAATCTTTCTTTTTCCATTTAATCGTTTTCAATTGTTGCTCACGTAAATACTTGTTACATATAATTATAATCAATGCTGTTTCACATGCCTAAATCTTTAATTCATTTGTGCTTATATTTTGCAAATTTAAATAATGATTTAAAAATAATTGGAAACTGATTGAGTTTTGGTTGCCTCTTGTTTTCGAAAATTGTCGAAGAGAATAAGATGCTCTTAAACGATAACAGAAATCCGTACGGATATCGATGCGAAAATATTAAACATCGAGAAAATCCGCGGATCGAATCAACAAGCAAGTCTCTAAGGGCTGCGAGATTAAAATGCATCCGTTCGACCGCGGATCGCGTCTGTCTGCGTCTGCGAAGTGGAAGCGAAGTCTCCAGCAATTATCGCGGAATTCAACCGATCGTTACCCGTTTCCCTCTGGAGAACCGCGTCCGATTGTCTGAAGCGAACCGGATGCGAAAAGAGGGGAAAACATGAAAAAAAAAGGTAGAGAGAGAAAAAGAGAGATCGACAAAGAAAACGATATCG